CCGTCTAAGTGCCCTTCTGACCAAGAATTCAAACACAGACATCCTAATGTCCAGACTATAGATTTCAGGAGATGATAAAATCCAGAATTTCAATGTTCATTGTGTTAGAAGTCACCTTATTTTTTTAACTTAAAATATTAAAAGTCATAAAAACTCATCTCATTATTATTCATGTGTGTGTGTGTGTGTGTGTGTGAAATAGCAAAAATAAACAGGTAGCTTCCAAACAACTCCATATTAAATAATTATACACACAAGTTTCTGATATTTGCTTTTTAAAAACACCCATCTCTCTGGAGATGCTGGTAACCTTCAATGTAAGTTAATGATATTGACAAAAATATAAAATTTGTTTCACACACAACTGTTTTTACTGGTTTACAATATCACGTCCTCTATTATTTACTTTGGAAATAACATAAAATGATAAAGTAAAGCATTTTTAAAATCAAAACCAAGATGGGAAAATGTGTATAGATGTTGCACTTCTTAATTTTGTTAATATTAATCACTCTACAGACGACATGCATCTGTTAGCCCTTTATTGCTTTAATTCATAATGCAATTACCTTCTTCCTCTATTCTCTTCCTCTCTTCAAATCCCCCTATATACCTCTCCATAACTCTCCTTTAAATTCATAGCTTCCTTTTATAATTATTGCAGATATAGATAGATAGATAGATAGATAGATAGATAGAGATAGATAGATAGATAGATAGATAGATAGATAGATAGATAGATAAAACTAAATATAACTGATCTGGAGCATATGCTATTACCCGTATGTATGTTTTCAGGGATGAACCACTTGGCACTAGACAACTGAGCGATGTGCTCTTTCCTGGGAGAGCCCACCTCTTCTGCTTCCAGCTTTCTTCAGTTGTCTATAGTTGTTATTGTAAGGTTGAGTCCTTGCAGGCTTTTTCTCATCCAATTTTCCACATTCTTTGGTGTTATCTGAATTTACCCTTACAGTTTTTAGCACATGTGTGACTATGTGTTTTTGGTTGTACACATTTACTTGTGGGCCTCTCTATATGGAACCAGAATTACAAGTCTTTCTTTATTATATATTTGCTATTGCTGTTGAGACTGTGTATCTCACTGAAGTTGGTGCTCAATGGTTGGCTACAATGGCTGTCAAGTAGTCACTGAAAATGTACCTGTCTTCATTTCACCAGCAGTAGGCTTACAGATGTGCACTATGAAAACTGTATTTATGTTGATTCTGGACATCACAACACAGGTCATCTTGCTTATACAAGATGTAGTTTAGCAACTCACCAGTTTCTCTAGCTTATATTTAAGACTTTTAATAAGATTAAATACTAGATTTTGCTTACGAATTTTATGCAGGGAATATATTTGTATATTGTATTTGTAACAAATAAATATATCATTTTAAATGAAAATTTATTAGATATCACAGGCCTTTTATCTTTCAATCAGTATAAAATTTATCAGACAGGAAGGGTAATTCATTCACTTTTAAAGATTTTTAAAAGTCATTTTTGCTAATAGGATTTATTAATCCAAACAAATGAAATAGAAGCTTAAAGAAATTATATAATCTGAAAATTGGTGCTACTAAATATAATAAAGAACATACATTATAAATATGCTGAAAGATATAGTGTACATAAATGTTTGCAAGTCTCACAAATGATGAATTATATATGCATATATTTCTCTTCATATATGTTTAAATCAGGTTATATGAAATTTATTAAATATATGGGATTATATTTTTATAAAAATTAGTCCTACCTTATGGTAATGGATTAAAACATAAGAATTATAATCTGAGTATCAGTGTCAATGCCTGTAAAACAAGATATGTATTTATCTCTGATCAGTTAACAGTTTTCCTCTTACTGATTTTCATTATCTAAAAATTGTGTAACCCTCCTATAGTCCTGCTTCTCAAAAGCATGTTTCCAGTTAAAATTTTCTTTACTAACAAACTTGTTATTCTATTTGAACTAGAAACAATATGACATTTGATTTTATATTATTTTTGTACATTATATTTAAAAATACCACTTAGAGGAAAATACATGAATTCAGCAAAGAGAAAAATGATCTATAAACTATTCTCATATGTTTTATGACAGCCACTTAAAGTTGTACAGGAAAAGGCCTAGCCATGACCTTAATGATAAAATAAAATTCTTAAATATGGTTACAAAAAGTAAATATGTACATATTTACATCTCTATTGATATCAATCTGATATCATGTTACATTTCTATTTTATGACATATATTTAAACCATATATAAGCATGTGTTTGTATATGCTATATGTAACAGTATATTTGTAAGACATTATTTAAATACATGCAAAATACATTTTAAAATAAGAGAGCCAGCTAAATGATATCAGAATGGCTACATGAGAATCACATGAATTAGCTTTTATTAGTAAATACTTACATAAGCTAAAATTTAGTAACATTTAAGGATCAAGCCTACTAAGTCCTAGTTTAAGCCCCTTATCATTTAGGGCAGCTCTGTAAGTCTTAAAAGCATGGTCTAATCAATTTACCCCCTAGTGGTGAAGTGCTCCTTCTGAGCTTCTCATATGAACCTTCACAAGAAAGGAAGCACACACTTCTCAGACCAGGATTGCATCATTCTTATTATCACATATAAATAGATCATATTCTATTCCATCTAAAAGATTAATTTCTTTTCATTTAGATTTAAATATGTCTACAAATATAGGATGAGGAGCCTGTATGTACATTCCCAGATCAGCACAATGAAACAGCTTTAAGCATGGGTTTGCTGGAAGTGTATAATATAAAACTCAAAATATTAATCTTCTATACAAGAATTCCTTTCTATACCACAAAGTTACTCTGAAGCAGGATGTTTGAGCATAGCCATCAAATTTTCCAAACACAGACTACTCGGACTCTTCCTTTTAGAATTTTCTACTACTTTCTGTGTCATGATGACCCCTCCTGGTTGAGCTGTTCATTAACTTAGATTCATAGTGCCACAATTTTTCTGCTTTAAAGATTTCTATGAATTAAAAACATAACTATCATGTGCAGTGGTTCAAAATGAACATAAGATGCAATTTTTTCAATATGTGTAAAAATGAATTTGAAAATTCAATCTCATCAGTAAATGTTCTTATCACTCATTACTAACCTCACTTTGATGTTGTAGGACAACTTTTGCTTGTGTTTCAAAGTTTATATTCAAACTCCATAAAACCTTTTCTAAACTCAACATATATTTTAATTATTTAAGTTATGAAATAACAATTAAAAAAAACCCTAAAGCTCAAACACAAGAATTTTAAACAGTGATCTTTGTGTGATCCTTCACTGAATTCTAAGTAGTAAAAGCTAAGCTCCCACTTCTGAAATAACAACTTTTGAATCTTTGAACTGTGCCAATGCAATAAGGGCAAATATAAAATTCTGGATTCATGGTTAATGGTTCAGATTGATCCATTTCTACTCAGGCATACAGAAAAATGAGAGACAGAATTCTGGAAGCAACTGGGAAGTGAGGACTCTAATAGAAAAGTACGACATATTTTAACTTTTAGTAAGACTGTACAAAACGTGGAAGCTAATTCTATACTAGTATACAAACATAATTTAAAGTGGAAATTCAAATTCCATCAAAATAATTTACTGATGGTAGCTTTACAATTTCCGTTTAAGCCTATACAGTCAACACAGATAAAAACAACACATTTTTTTTTTTTAGGTTTGTTTGTGGTCTGAGAATAAATTAAAGTTTCAAGTTCACTACAACTTAGTTATCTCCTTTTTTGTATCTCTACCTTTAAGCATTGCAAAAGAATCTCATGAAGGATACCTGGGGAATGTGTCCAAATACTACTAATCATAGCACCGGCAATGATTTTTGATCTAAACATGCAAAACCTATTTCATGGAAGCTCTCAATATTTTGTACAGCGGAATAGTAATATTAATATTGAAATACAGACAAAGGTGAACATTAATACATCCACAGAATCTATAAATGGGGGGTTGCAAATCATGTGTGAAGCATCTAGAAACTTCTGAACTTATGTATCTTAAATGGAGAATATTTCCCCTTGAACTCCATAGTCCTCACTCCTTCACTCATGGACTCACTCAATCTTACAAGCAAGGCTGTGCTTAGGAAAACTGTGCAAAGTAGTACAGAAAATCAGTCCAGAGTTTAACTCTTTCTCAGCCAAAGCCAACTATACATTTCTTCTCTTCATACATACTATGAGTTTCTAAAGCAATGTAGAAAATGAGCCAGATCTTCCATTTCTTCCACCCCCACTCCTTAAAACCACACATTTTGAGCACTTACATCATTTTCTTTAAAACTTTCAGACCATCTCTTTATTATGCCATTGCACTGGCTGTCCCAAGTCCTAGCCTGCATGAGTCATGCTCATTACCTCAAACCACTAAGGAATTAGTGCAGTGTCAGTCCCAATATTAGCCCCACTTTTAAAATATATACAATCAAGGGCTAAATGAGCATTAACTTTTTAGGAGGACAAAGAAGATTAGTAAACACATAGGTACCCAAACTGCTTGAAGTATGTTCCTCTTTCTTCCTCAGACCAACACAAGTTAAAACCATCAATAAAAATCAAAAACTTATGCTAGTTTTCTGTCCTAAGAAAAATGTAATAATCTCCAGACTACACTGATAGGTATCAAGAAACGACTACACTCATCACTCTAACCAAGCAGTTGCGGAGCAATCTTCAAGACTAGTAACAACTTTCCAGAAGCATCCAGCACTATGAAAATCTCCACTGAACAAGCAGCACTATGAAAATCTCCACTGAACAAACAAGGGTTTGGAGTTTCTCTGCGGCAGTGGCTAGAAACGCGAAGCATCCGACACACACACCAGGGGCAAGAATTGAGAATGCACCTCCGAGTTGATACCCGGGCGCCCTTACACCAATGCGGCACTGAAGTGGCTCCAGTACGGAGCCTGGAGAAGGAGAGAGCTACTTACGGAACGTGGAGGGAGCTGTCCAGGCTCTGCAGATGAAGCTGCCGAGAATCCAGAGCGAGAGCGCTGCCCTGCAGCCTGCTCTCAGAGACATCACCATCCTTAGCCGCCGGGCCAGTGGTACTCCGAAAGCTCGCTGCAGAGATACAGTCTGCCTCTCTGTGAGGTTCTTGAAGGGAACTGGTCTGTCCTCAGATGCGAGAAGAAGCCAAGCTCCTCCTGCTTTGCTTCCTCTCCCCTCACCCTTTCTAGGTTCCAGTTCTGGGCTGGCAGCAGCAGGGGAGGCGCAGCCTGGCTTTCCCCTCTCTGTGGGTCTGGTCTCTTGCTCTGCGAGCCAGTGAAATGCCAGGGGAAGAAATTCAAACCGAGAAGGAATAGGAGGGGTGAGGGAGAGGAGGGGACTGACACCTACCCCGCCCTCTCTTCTGGAAAAAAAAATCACCAAAGGACGCGTGGGGGGAATCTGGAGAGCACTCAGACCGCAGGAAAGAACCAAGAGCGATGGGTCCAGTGATGTTGCTGTTGCCACTGCGGGCGAGCGCTTGGGTGGCCACTGGGCAGCGCGACTCAGAGGGGTTTCCAGTAGGCTGTTAGCTCCCAGGCTGAGATCAAGGATGTGTGGAGCTGAGGCAAGCCCCCATACATGCTCGGCCTCAGCGTGGCGCGGCACTGAGAAGCGTCGCTAGCTGGAGAGAGAGCACAGCAGCTACCACCGCAGCCTGGAGCTGGAGACTCTGCTGCCTCCAGCAGCGCCTGCAGAACGGGGCGAGCCTGGCGAAGGGAAGCCTCCCCCCTCTTCCCTCTTGTTCCCCTCCCCTCCCCGGCCCCTCCTCCTCCTCCTCCTCCTCCTCCTCCTCCTCCTCCTCCTCCTCC